AAGCTCAGACAGAAAAGTGCCTGTAGGCTAGAAAGAGCCAAGGGTAATAAACACTAGAGTGATCAGTCTGGCAAGGATGCCAATGGGTTATCATTGTTCTGCTGCTATCAGAAATAATATGGCCACAACAAATTGAATCACGGTGCTCGCAAAAAAAGACGCTGCGAATTAAAATATGCAGGACATTCCGCATGGTAGTCACGTGACATGCGAGGAGTGATGGGAGAATCGAGCCAATGGGGCACATGCGAGCCTCTTTCTCGAAACTCACCGTGTGCGCACGTCATTATTTTTATTCCATAAGTGACCAAGCCAGCAAGGGGTCAGCAACTTAGAGGAAGACCCCGAGATGCCAAGACACTGCAGGAGCAGGGTTGGGAGATGAGCTTTTGTTGAAATTGGCATAAGGAAGGAAGTGATGGCAGGGTTGGTTGGCTCTGATTGCATTGATCCCAGTCGTGAATGTGTTCATAATTTTTAGAGTGCACAGTCTGGAGAGCAGACGAAATAAATTTCCCATAACCCAGGCTGTACAATGAGCCAATATTCTAAAATGTATAGAGTGGGTATCTTATAACTATAATAATATGACCTACTTATATGCCTGCCATTTTGGCTGAGTACATGCCAGCATATGAAAAAAATGATTTTTAAAAATTTCAAGAATTAAAATGAATTGGGTCAATAGGGCTCCCATTCATTACGTGATCCGTTTAATTCCCTTTAATTCCTATCACACTGCATCACTACGTCCTGATTTCTGACAGCCCCGTGCGCAGTGTTTGAATGGCACCTCGGGTGGCATTATAAGTCAAATGTGTCCTTGCACGTGAGGTTGGAGCACACGGCTCACTGCGCACAGGGACCCTGAGGTAAAACGTGGGGATTTTTCTAACATTTTCCTCCGTGCGGGATCGGAGGTGGGAACATAACCTAGCCTCACTGACAGTCCTGAGGCAGAATTACGGCCTTCTTTAAATACCGTGCATCAAAAAAAAACCATCACCGGTTGTGAAGCGTGTGATGTCACTGGATGCAGAGTCAATCCGTCCATTTGACAATTCCGTGAGGGCAGATGGTGCCCGCAGTTAAGCGTGCCTCACGATCGTCACAAAGTTGAGAGTTTCAACTCTGATGGGAGGTCGACGTGGAAACACGCTTGGCGGGAAGTCGACGACGGATGTCCGACGGAGAGAACGGCCATCACGATGTCAAGCTGCAATTTCCACCGCTGGCTCAGGAGCGATGGCCCCAAACTCATTTGACTTTGACATTTATATATTATACACACACGTTGCATAATTCTACGTATACCATGGCATTAAAAAAAAGAAGAGTAATCCTCATGAGCTAATTAAACCCTTTAGGCCCACTGGGACAAACAATAGCCCTAGTCGGCTTCCACCAGCTGTTCCCACCACAAGGGTTTCTTTCACGGTCATTCCAGAAATTTTTAATTTTCTCAAATCCATCTCATTAGGACCACGTATGTCATAGCCTTTCCTGGTCTACGCTAGGAAGACAGTCAGGGGGTGAATATGTCTCCATGCTCGAGTAAGCGTGGGACAGCATTCATGATCTGTTAGTGCCGAATAGCCAGCAATGGAAATTCCACATTCCGATAGCAGGGTACAACTTATCTATTGCAGAACTACAGTTATAATCTTTATATTACAAAAAAAATTCACAAAGAGTTTTGCTGCACAAATTTACATGTGGCCGTGATTATATATCTGGCTGTGTCCTTGAGAAACTTGTGTAAATTACACTATCCTGGGCAAGGTTTAGTTCCTATATAGGGCAACCACTGATAAATATATTCAAAGTTATACATTTTTTAAAGGTGACTTTTCCTTATATTTTCCACGACACACTAAATTGAAATGAATGTCTAAAATGCACACAGTAAAAAAATTGGCCATGTTTTTTTCTTTTCAAAATTGTGCTGGAATGCCTGAGTTATCACCCTACAGTTCTGAGTATCACTGATCAGTCAAAAGAGAGCAGTGATATCACAGGAGACGATTGTTACTATTACTACGACGAACACTGAAAAACACAAGTGTGTGTTGCGAGTATCTAGGAGGTGACATTTTTTAACTAGGAGTGCCCTAAGGACGAAGCACAATCCTGGGGGCCCTCAGGGACAGGGCACGCTAATTGACAGACTTGTGTGCCGTATTCGCAGTGCTACTCTGGAAGCATCTGGCAGTGGCTCCCCCCCTCCCTCCTTCCACTTGACTACCACGATAAAAATCGGGCAAAAAAGCATCCTCAAGGCTGCAAGCCCGTGCCACCGGACCACCCCCTCTTTTTCAACCTCTCATATTCAACGGGGTTTTTTTTTGGTATGTCCACGTACAAAATTGCACGTATCCCTTTATTTCACTCGAGGTGCACAATAGTCAGCGTTTGCCAACGTGAAACACTCGAGACCCAAGTCCTGAAAATAGCACAGAAGTCGTATATACTGTAACAACGTAGAGCCAAGATGGCGGCAAAGTGCATTAGATAAGCATGCATATTCACATCCATTCTCATTAGCTCGCTAGTTTATGTCGTTTGAATGGATTCTGTTCATATTAGCGCTGGTTTAGAGCAACTGAGGAGTGGAGATGTCTTTGTCGCTATGTACTCTGCATTAACCAAATCAAATGAGTTGGGGTGGCGCACATCTTACTGTTGTAGCCCTGAGCAGTGGCGTCACTAGGATTGGTGTCACCAAGTGCGGTAACTCATGGGGTCACCCCTCATGGACATCTGCCCGTACCAGACCATACAGAAACCTGAGTAATGTTTTTTGTACTAATGTTACTCGTAAATCGTAATTCCCGTATATTACTGAATGTAATGGCAAAGGTAGTGACATAAACAACGAGCAAAATAAAAATTACACCTTTAAATTACAATATCATACGTACAGCATAAATGTATTTACTTTGACATAGTTTAACATGGTAAAAGTGAATATTCGGTAAGAGAAACTATAATTCGAAGTAAAAAACGTAAAAACATTTAAGAACTACATTAAAATAAGATATATTTGCAAGACAGTGATGTTTTTAAAGAAAATTTGAAAAGACTAAAAAAATGCATTTTAGATTTAAGTTATATTTCTAAACATGTATCAAGAAACATAGCATTTCCCCCCACTTCATGTTTTGAATTGTCAATTTCTCAATTTAGTTATCAAATAGTTATGTAATCAAAAATTGTTCTACGTGTAAGTTTATTATTAATTTTAATCATAGAATAATATGTGATATAGTTGTAAATTGCTTAAATGTAATATTTCTTAGATTATATGAATACCAACAACATTGTTTGGTAAAATCTTTCTACACTGAATTACAACATTATTAGCCTTTTTAGATTTTTCTCCTTTTCCTTTAATTACCACTTCATTTTGATTTAAAGCTTTCGTGACTGCAGGGATTCATATTCTAATTATTTTATTGTTTCCCTTCTATGTGACTTTCACAAAAAAGTTATTGATATATCTAGATTTGAAGCTTTCGTGACTGCAGGAATCCATACTCTTTGGTTCTTTCGGTAAAGTAATGTAGGTAGAAAAATAAAAATAAATCACGACGTTTCGGGCGCAACACAAGCGTCCATCACCAGGTGGGAAAGCATGGTCTGCTGCTGAGGCAGACTGTTTCGCCCGAAACGTCGTGATTTATTTTATTTTATTGATACATATTCACCAATATTAATTACCACAATATAGTAGCTAAAACACCAGAAAATTTGACAAAATCAGCGACTATAAAAACACGAACAGCACGTACTTGTAGCGCGTGCAGACGAAACCATGTGATTCGAAGCATCATTGTAATTGGTTAATAATGACTGCTCTGATCGCATTAGAAGGTTAAAAAATACAATTAGCATAGAGTTTTAGCCCTGTAGGTATATTGATACAATACATGTAAGCTGGGCTTAGGAAAAATGTTTTTTGTTGTTATAACCAACTACAGGGAATTTATTTATATATATATATAAAAAACATTTCTGCTAAAACACTGCACAAAAATTGTATAGACAGTCATTTTGGTGTCACCCTTTCTGATGGTGTCACCCGGTGCGGTCCGCACCCCCCACCCCGCACCTCCCTAGTGACGCCACTGTCCCTGAGCCAGCGGAAGAAATTCCACAAGGCTATCGTGGCACCAGCGTCAACAAAAAGGTGACTACAGAAAACTACCCACAAGGGTTACTCACCTTCATGAATCTGAAGGGAAGATGGGCTAAGTGTAAATTCCCAACTGTTATACGAATGGGCAACCTTTTAGAAATCAATACACATTTAATAGCTTCAATAATTATATTATAATTTCCCCAATGTCTGGGAAGACCATCGTGTGGTTGTACCACTTGACTTGCAATTCGAGGTTTGCAAATACAACCATCCCATCCCCACTCTGAGGTCAATCGTATACTTATCACTTTGCAGGAAGTCAACAATAGTTGATCTGAGGAGAGTCCATCCCCCCTCACCCACCCCCCCCCCCACTGTTTAATTATCACCACTGGCTCAGTTTTGCTCATTGCTCATTTGTACAGGGAGACTGCTTTCATCTTTGACTTTTTTAGTTAGTTATAGTTTTTCGCCAGCTAGGTTATAGGCCTGTATGTACGTTGAACTTCTTTTGCACCGTACGTAGCCATCCGTGCTAATCGGATGCCTGAGCGAGGCGCATGGATTTGCTTAAAGGTGGCAAGCTCATGTAAATTCTACTGCGTAGGATTTCGCGAATGTGCCACTGTACAACTCTGCGATGTGTTTTCCAGTTGTACCGCATGTAGTTCGGGCACGATGTCCGACGTTTTGTTCCATGTGCCGGGAAAGCTTTTGCAACTCAATTCCCCAGCGAAGCTCCCAACACGTAACGTCGAACATTCGAGCCAAACGACACGTGGCGCAGCCCGGAAACTGGGTGGAGAGTGATGGCACAAAACATTATCTCAAGCGACGCGGGAGGGTGCCGGAGACTCACGTCGTTGGCGTTGACATGCCAAGCCATGTCTCCGTAGGAGACGAGCTGCCCATTGACGTAGCAGCGGATCTCGCTGTTCCGCCAGCGGTTGTACACGTGGACGATGGTTACCATGTACCACTGCAAGGGGAGAAGAAGAAGCAGCGCAGAGCTCGCATTAGACAGGTAAAAGCTCCAACCACATACGGCTTAACGCAAGTCCAACGCACCACCGTGCTGTCATGACCAACAGCAGCAGGCTAACTAAACGTTTTGGGCAATGGCCCTTGTTAAGGGTAGAGATAATGGGGCAAGTAGATTATTTTACCGATGTAGCTTTCCGATTATTCATGTTTTAATCACCGATCTGATTAGCGAAACGAACACCGCCACCGCTGGCTCAGAGTCACCAATGGCACAAGTGGTTTCTCCGAGCGTGGAGGCGCTTTGAGTTGAGATGCGGTGGTCATGACCCATGGCACAGTGGTGAGAGGATGTGACTCAGTGAGAAGGCTGAGTTCAAATCCCATTGGAAGCCCGACTCGAGTTTTCCTCTCGCCAGGGTTAAGAAAAAGAAGGCGCCAACTTTGCGGACAAGTCCCACGAATAAACTGTCCCTCGTCATGGGAATGTCCAGTTTCCGCCGCTGACTTTGGGAATTCCAACAATACGTGAGCACTGCCTCTTGATTTTTGTTCACCTCTTTCAGTTCCCTTTAAAATGTTACACTAACAATTTCGGCAATGTTGATTTTAAAAACAAATGCATTTTATTTTCACCTGCAGAAGTGTGCTCGTTTCTACAGAACACCAGGTTTCTCTTTTCAATGTTTGGCAACAGCACTGCAGAGGCCACACCAAGGTGCAACCATTTTGCGAGCGCACGGAGACGCAGTGCTAATTTAAGTGAGACGTCGATGCCAACGCATGTGGGAAGTTGCTTTGAAAGCTTAAATGGATGGCCAATTTGATTCATTTTTTGCATTAATTTACAACGCAAAGGGTTCCCTTCTGCAGAGCCGCACTCACTGGAAGGCTTACTTTTCAATAGTCGCCCTTAATACAGTGATTATGTGGCCCTTCAGAAGCAAGGTGACATCATTCTATATTTGGTATTTTCAAAGCACTTAAATGATATAATCCGACTACTTGGTTCATTTTACCATGAACTTTACTCAGAGTCATGTGTTCGGTAGAAACGTGAGCAGCTGATGAATCTTTACTGCGATGCATTGGCTGCTTGATGTTTCCACATCAACCGAAGCAGCCGACTTCGATCGCTTCCAACATTGACCTGTTTTCAAAATGATGTTGTAATTTTACAAACATGAACGTAATAACCAAAAGTAATCAACTAGTACACGCTAAGGTGCGGCGATCTTATTGCACGCTAACAAAAACAATCATTGTGAGATTTACCAGTGCAGGTTCCTGGTTTTGGTATTCTGATTGCACTGATTATACATATACTGTATGAAACAAAACCTCATGACAACCTCGACTGCCTTGTGCATTTAAAACACAACTAATGTAATATTTTAAAGGTCCGAAAAATGCTCATTGACACGATTGTTTGATTTAACATTTCCCGCATCTAATATTCAGTTTGGCTGGTCCTTTGTAAGACGTCATGTAAATGTGCCCTCTTTATATAAACGCACACATGCAGTGATCGAGTTATAACGACATTAAATGCAACGAATCAGAGACTTAATCAATCAGTTATTTCGAAATAAACAGGGATTGTATGAAGCTGGAAAGGAAAAAAAGTGAATTAAGAATTCTCCAGATTTGAGTCACTGCAAATAAACTGGTATGGAAAGTACAGTACAAGATTGACAAAAAAAATTTGGACCATGCACAATTTGAGATACTCCTCTGTAATGTTTCATATGGTTAAACATTGAGAGCTAAAAATCATGATTTATAACTTGAAACACTGCGAAATAAAAAGTGCAGCATAACAGAAACACATTTAACAATAGACATTTAAATAAGTAAATCATATACCGCACAGAATGAGACATTTATTGAGCTTATTTTTTAATTTATAAATACCGCAGTAATTGAAAGGATCACCATAAAACACACTTTTAATTAGTCCGATGATGTAAACCACAGATGCATTTAAACATTCTATAATAAAACGTCAACTTAACAACCATAAATGCTGATCATATTTTCAACCAGAAAATATTTTTGTAAGAGAGCAAACAAAAACTATCGAGTTACACAGAGCGGTCAAATTCCAGTGATGAGCATTCGAAGTGTGCACACAAGACGCCACGGAGTTGCATGAACGGTTTTTCTCTTAGTCCTTCCGGTCCTGTTGCGGTAAAATTTCGATTCGTCGTACATGCCAGACAGATGCGGGAAGGAGTCCTTGTTACTTTTGAGTTTCCTCACTTTTGATGTTATTTCGATTTTTTGTTCTCATTCACTAAATGATTTGACCACCCTTTGTATCGCACTACAAGGAAGAGACTAAACAAAGCTCACAAAGCAAAGGTAATTATTGTAAACAAAAAAAAATACAGCACCAAATTTTCAGTTGCAGCACCGGCAGCTTTAAACCTCTGAGGAGAGGGTTTAGACAGGGAGACATGTGGAGACATGAACAAATAATTACTAATGTATTTTTCACACCGTGCTCTTTAAAAAAATATATGACTCGCACAAAAAACACAGATGGAGACACAATATCTCATTTCTGTCGGTTCATATCACAAAACAGATGAACTGTACATTATCTCATTAGGTGATGATTTTGCAGGTAACTTTGATTGATGTGGTAAAATTACTATGCAAACTTCAGTTTTTCTTGAAATGCGGGCAAAAAAATGGTATTCGCAACCCCAACTGAGTAATTTATCCAATGGGTAGTTATTTTACTAATAAAAATGAAATTCTGTAATTGAAGAAAAATGCTAAATTCAGTAAGTACTGGATATCTAGTGGAAAATGCATTGTATAATTTTATAATGAAGGCTGCACAAGCAGATCTGTTGAAAAACACCGCAGTTGAAAACGATGCCACATCTGGCCATTAAACGTCTTGTTGCGCTGATGAAATTGAATGGCATTAAGAGTCACGTCACGTCACAGCTAATACAACTCAAATCACTCTCTCGCAATGCATAATCCAACCATTGATCACTCGCACACTGACGCCGCGATTGCATTGCACGCACGCTTGTGAACGAGTCACGTCAACGTATAAATATACGCGTGTGTACGTGCGTTCGGAGCGATGCTGCTGCTGTGGTAGTGGCTGCTGCTACCACACTGGACTTGCAATCTAGGTCGCCAATTTGATCTCCCGGGCAGGTTGCATGAACGCGTGTACACGTGTTGTCACGTGGCAGTTGAAACAATGGGCAGGTTGCACGAATGCGTGTACACGTATTGTCACGTGGCAGGTGAAACAACGGGCAGGTTGCACGAACGCGTGTACACGTATTGTCACGTGGCAGTTGAAACAATGGCAGGTTGCATGAACGCGTGTACACGTGTCGTCACGTGGCAGTTGAAACAACAGGGAGGTTGCATCAACGCGCGTACACGTGTCGCCATGTGTTTGCGACGCACGTGTCACTTGACACCCTGAACACCCTTGAATACAAAGGTGTCCCATCTCCAAGAATGATCCAGGTGAATTTCTTTCAGGAAAAATAAATAAACAAGTCTACAAAAAAAATCCTCCTGCCTTCACGCACCCAGCAGTGACTATGGGCACGCCCCCACATCTTCCAAGATTGTCTGGCCAGCGTGAAAGGGTAGGCCAAACACCCCTTTTGAGGGGGTGTCGAGAACCACCTCTTAGTGGAGGCTCTTCCACTCAGACAGCAATGGTCACCACACGCGGCACTATCGAAGGGGCATAACATAGAACGTGCTATCACAGTTGCAGAGAATAATGAATGTCGATTTAAAGCATTCGTGACTGCAAGGATTCATCTTCTTTGGTTCTTTCGGTAAAGTCACGTAGAATGAGAATAAAATAATAAAATAAAACAATAAAATTCTCACGACGTTTCGGCCACAACACAAGTAGCCTTCTTCAGGTGAAGGAACAAAACTGTCGGGACGACAGAGCTGTGTTGTGGCCGAAACGTCGTTAGAATTTTATTGTTTTATTTTATTATTTTTTCTCATTCTACGTGACTTTACCGAAAGAACCAAAGAAGAATAATGAATGTCTCCCGTGCGGTGCCGAAAACTATCGAGCAAGCAATTGCAGGGACACGCACGTTTACATCTATTGGTGAATTCTAAGATGCAATGTAAAGTAAAATGAATGTAATAAGTTGAAACTGAATAGTACTAATGTGGCAAATACATTCGTACGTACAGCGATCTAGGTACGAACAGATATATCTGGCTGGATGACTGCTGTTGGAGTATTTCCTCACAAGAAGGAAGTTCACACATCCAAATTGTGGTGAAATATCCTGCAAGGTTGATAAAGTGAGTACCATACCACGATGTAGGAAGTCAACAGTGATTGCGATATAAAGAAACTGGGCTCTGCCCCTTAGAATGTGGATTTTCCAGCAATATTTCTGGGCCATCAATGCAGGTTTGTGCTGCCCCATTGCTTGTTTGTGGTGGGAGACGCTTTGGCTTATTTGTCTGTCTCTAAGTGTTCATGTGCATGTAATGAGCGCGGTAATTAGTAAAGGAGACCCGTAACTATTCACCGGCCTCACAGTTCAAAGCATAATCACAATTCAAGGGCCATGATTCAACTCAACAGTCAATTGCTTGTTTAAACCACGTGGTGATTATGAGCCTGTTAAATGCAACAACAGCCGCCATTCACCACTAAGTGGCGGTGACGTCACCACGGCGCTTTGTGCCATGCGATCTACACTTTAAGACCAGTTTAAGGGTTAAAAAAACACATGCATGCTCAGCACGCTTAGTTAAACCGCTGCTGGATGAGGTCCTCCCCTCGTCGCACAGTCCCAAGTACAGAACAACAATGGATTTTGCTGCACTGCCCACCGCCCCACCTGCCTGCCACACCTGTCTCGTGTGCATGGGTGGCCACCCATCCCAGTACGACCCAAAAACCTACACACCCACAAAACTTACACGCACATACACGTACGTACAACAAAAACTTGAGCAGCTGATGCTGTGTGGCAGTGCTTTCTTGTGCAAGTGGCTAAACGTGTACATGCATAAAGGCAAACTCCCGCTGTCTCCAACGGGCTTGGCTCCACAACCGGTCCCTTGGCAGGTACCGGTGCTGACGAGCAACGTGGTACAACCAACAAAGATATTTGTGCAAAAGGGCCTGTCATAAATATTGCGCCGTCGCTGGGGAGCAACCCACCCACAGGATGCATATTTTTTTTCTCCCTGTGTTTTTGGCGCAAACAACAGCCCAGGGGCTCCACCCTGGACGGAATCAAAATGTCTTAGTCATTAACAAAGTGAACCAGGACAAACGCTTCGAAGCAAGTTGATCAAGAGGTGAATCGTCACCAAGGCAGCTGACTCTTCCAACCCATCTCACCACTCTGCCACTCTTCCACCAAATCCTTCCGTCGTTGTTGCACCGTCTACACCAAAACTCCCCCCAGCCATGGGCTCTCGTAGTTTCCCACCATCTGGATTTTGGTCCTTCCTCTCATTTCCCCCACATTCTGCGTGCCGCCAAACGCCTCTCTCGGTCACTGGGCCTACCAAGTTCTGCGCAGATACTCCACGTACGATACAGCCTCATCTTCCTCACGCCTGCCGTTCCATCATTCCACATTATATTCCAAACGTGCTAGATCCTGACCTCATAAAAAAAGGGCAGAGGCTTCCTTTCCTGCAACTTTTATGGAGTTCACGTCTGCGTTATGCAGCCCTTTAGCTCAAACAAAGACAACGATCCCCCATACAGCCTTAACAGACTGTTGGGGCAAGTGCTGTTAGTGAGCACCTATGAAGGCCGGCACGGCACACGAGTGGGTGGATGACCAACACCACGCCCGGCAGCCTTTGTCTCCCTAGTGGCGATGTTTAACACACTGCACCAGGTACTCATTTGAGGATGAGTAGACCTAGGGGAGGCCCGGGACCGGATCAAATAATCGTTACTTTGGTGATGGCTGAGCAGGAATCGAACTCTGGTGGCCAGGTTCTCAGCGCAGCGCGCTAACTGCTACACTACTGCTCCCCACTTAGCTCAAACACACACACACACACCGAGGCTAAAGTTGAAAGTAATGCTTCTCCAAAGTGGTTCATGAATTCCCGTGCAAAACTCACCAGATGAGCAAGGTTGGGCGGGAGCAGCGGAAAGAGATGTGTAAAGGGGATCCAAATTACTTTTCCATTCAGAGAGATCTATGCAAATGCTCAGTGCCAACTATAAAGTGGCAACACGGGATCATTGCTGCAGAGGTTTTTTGTGCTCACCTCCAGATAAGATGTATGTCACTTTAAGACACTACGGTATGTCCTCCAGTCTTAATAAAATGAGCACCCGGTCACAGAATGGCGAAGCTTTCTGTTCTGCCAGCTTGCCCATAGGCTTTCAGGATTGCACGAGGCTTAGCAGGATTAAGTTCTGTCACAGACCAATGGAATGACCGGCAATGAACAACATTCACACAAACATGAAGAATGCAACATAATTTAGGGGCATGTCCAGGATACACATTAAAGGAATAATTTCGTGCACTCTGACTCATGCAGCCAGCTATGGCTCTAAGGTTTGGTGTTACATGTTATTTATGTAGTTTATTGTTAAAAATTCGGTCACAGTCCTTGTGATCACTGTTACGTTGCAATTATGGCTTTATTTTTTGGTGATTTCGAAAAGTTTTTTGGTTTGGCCATGTTTGTTTGTTGTAGTATGGAGTTAGACTGATGGCCTTAATCTAAGTTGTCTTGTGGTTGTTGTTGTTGTTTGACTTGCATCCCACTGGGATTTTTGCACACAGCGTTGGTGTACGGTGCTTTTTCAGGAATATTTTGCTGTTTTTTCACATAGTCACTTTAAGATGTTTTCTTGTTCATGTTTTGTTTTTTGTTTGTTGCGGTTGCACCCGATTCAAGAGCCGAATGGCTCACAGGGCTATACCAAATAAATGAAACTGAAATAAATAAATCAAACTGAAAGGACCTAAAGCTGGCCTTATTTCCCATTCCCCATTGTCTGTATTCTTAACATCCCAACATTCCCATCAACCGAGCTCGTGTAAAGAACGTAAAGAGAAAGACTAAAATAAATCTGTAAAATGTTTCCATGCAAACCATTGACAATGTTTTCCCAATCAATATCTGATAGGGTATCATCCTTAAAAAATCAATTGACATCACTGTAATTTATAATTGGTTGTGCCATTGATTTCTCTTTTCAGCTAGGAGCACTGTTCTCCCTACTCATCTCCATTGGAAGCCTTGAACCAGTGGTGGAAATTCCACGTTCTTATGGTGGGTCCAATATTTACATTGGTTAACGACAGTACTTACTTTTATGATGCAGGAGATGGATCAACTGAATCAACACCTGACTGAGATTTCAATTTCAAACCTTCTGATTTTGAGAAAATGTCACCTGGTCAGTTGCAAG